CAGTGAGCAGCAGCACCATCAGACTGCATTCACAGGAGAACAAGAGATGGTTTGAGAACAGAGAAGCTGTTGTTGAGCGCATGTGCAGCTCAGTGACGTCGTTTCATAAAGGAACCGGAAGTGTTGCAGTGAAGGCTCTGACAGCGTTGATCAAACGTTCTTTAAGGTTCTCTGATGACGCCAGCAGCTTTAGATCACAGCACAAAAGACAGAAGCAGCTTTTTATTCCTCAGTCAGTCAGTCGGCTCTAAAAATAGCTCGCTGGTGTTATTTTGGTTCTGTTGGCTGCACACTGTGTGAATAGTTACGGTTGCCATGGCAGCCGAGATGCCCAGGAGGCCCGGGAGGCCCGGGAGGCCCGGGAGGCCGGTTCCCCCGCAGGCAGCCGGCACTGTAAAAACACACGGCTTCTGTCAGCTGTTCCTGGTGAAGTCACGCACACGGATTCATGCACACGTCAAACAGTTAAACGCTGTGAACACGTCACACGCGTGTCTGACTGAACGCAGTCCGGTTCTGAAGACGTCATCTTTGGGCTTTTCCACCTTTAATGATGTTTGACAGAGAAACGTGGGCAGGAGGGGGAATGACCGAACCGCAGCCGCTGCACCGGTCATCATAACCCCTGGACCTGGACCTGGACCTGGACCTGGACCTGGACCTGGACCTGGACCGCCTGCCCGACCCACCAGACCAGGACATCTGTTCTGTCACAACGTTTGACCATAAAGCTACAGTTCTTCCTGTATTTAAATCAGCAAACTGATGTGCATTTCTGTGGTTTGACAGATTTTACGGATCATTTATTCAAACAAAAAGATTCATTTACATCTTAACCTTAAAAAACATCCACAGCTGTAACTAAGGTCCACAGAAAGTCTGTATGTTGACAAGAAGTCATGTGTTTGACTCTGACACTACAGTTCAGCGGTGTTTTATATTTATCATATTTATACTGACTGTATTTTAACGGTATTTTATATTTATAATATTTATACTGACTGTATTTTAACGGTATTTTATATTTATAATATTTATACTGACTGTATTTTAGCGGTATCACCACCAGTTCACAGATGTTTTCACAGAACCAGAACCAGCTCTTTACTCCACAGACTGAAGCTTCACACAGACGTGATGCTGAGACTCGTCCAGCTGCTGCTTCACACGTTGCTCCTCAACACAAACACACTGAATCACACGTCGGCCCGTTCCCTCAGACAGAACCTCTGTTTTTACAGTGCACGTCTTTGTGTGTCTGTCGGACTGAACATGAGCTCAGTCCGGCACTCACCAGAACTCACACTGGTCCTTTCAGGCATACACAAATGCTGTCGTCATGGAAACCACCCGCCTCCTGTCTCCATGTGGACGAGGTTCTGACGTCACGGTTCTCCCAAACATCAATCCGCTGACAGCCAAAACCCTCAGAACCGACAGAAACCCGACAACGGACGAAGCCGCTCCCCTGCAGACAGACCTAAACATGATGGAGGCGGTTCTGACCCGACTGAAGGACTTTTCCTGTAAGACTCCGACCTTCAGCGGCCGAGAAGCAGCAGAGCAGAGCGGGTCCAGGACCGGAGGCTGCAGACTGGACCTGGAGAGCTCACTGGCCTGGCTGAGGAGGGAACTGGTAAGGCTGGGATCAGCACACTGGTTCTGCTCACTAAACACAGTGTTATGAAGTAATGAGTCCTGATAAACCGGGACCAGGATGTTCTGCTGCCATAGAACCTCGTTTACTTTGTGGCTGAAGGTCCAGATGCTTCTTCTCTGCTGAGTCGGAGGTTTTCAGAGATGATCGACTCTGAGAATAGAACAGAACAGAACATCCTTTATCTCTTTATTGTTTCTGTAAGTTCTGTGGTTCTGGACCTTTAAACGGGCTCATGCATTCAGCCATCATCACAGTAACAGAGTCACAGTGAAGGTTCCCTCAGCAGTGAAGGTGCAGCAGAGCAGGACTCTACCTGTGGTTTTCTGGTCGGGTTCTGTGAGGCCTGAGCTCCGGTTCTGGTGGTTCTGAGTCTCAGCTTCAGTCTCACTGTGGGAAGTTGAAGTTAGTTTTACTGTAAAAGACTTTAGAACTTTGTTTACATAAATAAAGTTGTTCTGGTGATTGTCAGTAGAAGTTCTGAGTGATGGATGGAACCGGAGCTGTGACCAGGAGCTGGTTCAGTCCAAACCCAGCTTCTGTTAATGGTTCAGTCCAAACCCAGCTTCTGTTAATGGTTCAGACCAAACCCAGCTTCTGTTAATGGTTCAGACCAAAGTCCTCAGAAAGGTCAGCAGCTGCAGCTCAAACTGTTTCTGATCCAGAAGCTTCGTCTTCAGCAACAACCAGCTGGACGTTGAGCACAAGCGGTTCTGGTGGTTCTGGTGGTTCTGGTGGTTCTTCTGTGTTCTCTGAATGACTGAACGGCTCGTTTTCAGTGAAACGTGATCTTTAAAGAACGTCCAGCTGAACTGACACCTGAACCCACCTCAGACCTTTATGACAGAAACGAACATCTACAGTTCAGCTTCATCTCCAAACAGCGCCGGGCTCCTGCTCAGAGCTGATGAAAGAAGCTCGCTGTTTGGTTCAGAACATTCCTCAGAACAAACCTGGACTCTGGAATCTGAATATCTTATTGTGCAGCGCCAGCAATTAGACCGAGCCGACAGAGACCAGCAGAGAGATGATTTGCATTTGAAAGAAGTCTGAAATGAAACGGCTGCAGCTTCACACCGAGAGAAAACCCGAGTCGGATCAGAGAACAAGCACTGAGCTTCAGGTCCGGGTTCTGGTATCTGGATGTTCCAGATCTGGTCCCTCTGATGACCCATTTAATCATTTCTGTCCAGTTTTAACAGATTTCCTCTCTGGATGTTTTCAGTGTTTCTGTCCAGTGAAGCCGGTTCTGTTCGCTGTCTGGTATCTGAGCCCGATTCTGTGTGCAGGTGGAGCTGCGCTCTCAGGACCAGGTTCTGATCCGGCAGCTGATGGAGCTGCATTCTGGGATCCAGGAGCTGAAGATGGAGCTTTCAGAGGACGAGGAGGGAAGCTGCTGGGATTCTGACAGCGACCACAGCAGCATCTGTTCTGGTTCTGAGCAGGTCCGCTTCACCTGCCGCCTCCAGGCCAACCGCAGGTTCTGCAGGAGGAGCTCGGTGCCGTGAAGATCCATAAAGACAAAGTCAGCTGCTCAGTTCTGTTCTGAGACGACTGAAGCTTCCTTCAACACTTGGACCTGAACTTTTAGGTCCACGTTTAAATAATAATTTTGGATTTTTAGAATTTCTTTCCTGCAGGTTTTATAATATTAACACTGATTCATACATTTCTGGACACGTCAGTTTGATTCAGGCAACAGAAAACTTCTACGAACCTTTAAAAGCACTCGTAACCGAATAAATGTCTTTGAATTGAGCTACGTCACATTTAATGAGTTGTTTCAGGCGTTTTGATTCTGTCAGGACCGTTTTATTCTGTCAGGACCGTTTTGTTCTGTCAGGACCGGTACCCTCCGGTCCACGTCGGCAGGTTTCAGACTTCTACGCTGAGCTCCAGATGTTTGACTCTGGTTCTACAGGGTCCATCTGTGTGGAACCATCAGCGATTAAACCACCTGGAAGAATCCCTGTGATGGACACACAGGTTCCTCTGAGGTTTGCAGGAAACATTTCCACAACATTGGTCAGCGTCACCAGACGTTAGAACGTTTTTTAAAGTTTTAACCAAATGTTCAAAGAACATTTTAAGGATATTCTCCATTTTAAATAAAGTTCCAATGAGGTTAAACGTGAACTAAGAGAGAACGTTGAGCTGCAACATCCTGAGAACGTTGTCCAAACTTTCTTCTCAAACCCACATTTAAAAATGTTCTCCAGACGTTATCGAGGACTCAGATGACAGAACGTTTCTTCACAAAACGTTCCTGTAACATTATGTAGTAAACAATGCAATGCTTTGAGGATGTCCTGGCACGTTACAGAAAGTTCTTCAACAAAACATTCCCACAATGTTCTACAATGGTTTGTGACTGTAGTGCTCAGACAACTCTTTCGGAACGTTCTAACAACATTATTGCCAGACATTTAACATCTGTGGTTTTGCACCTTTGAGAAGAACCACCCACTGAAAACATTACTACAACTTTGCAGAACCTTCTCAGAACGTTTGTGGAACCATTCCTTCCAGCTGTGGCTCCGTTTCATCTTCTGTTTGTCGCCTCTTATTTCTGCTTTGATCCCAAAAAGGTGACTTTGTAAATGGAAACCAGACGTCGGGCAGAATGTGGTGTGTTTTCGGAGGGAAACGTGTTTATTTGCTTCCTTCAGAGAGATCGTTACAGTTAGCTTAGCTTAGCTTAGCTTAGCTTAGCTTAGCATAAAAACCTGGAACAGAACTCGTCTTTACTGAACAGATTTGACAAACAAGTTGTAGCTTCTAAATCACTGAGCTTCAGAGGAGCCTTTCTGCAGAACCATGTTTTGATTTTATGCTAAGCTAAGCTAACCCACTGAATATTTACCTGAGAGAACACATGAGTGGAACGTCTGGTGAACGTGTCGGCTGTGTGACGGAGTTCAGTCCTGAACTAAACGTTCATCTGAAGCTGTTGTTTGTTTTCATTCCAGGAACAAAGTTTAAATTCAAATAGATCAAATCCAGAAACGTTCTTCAGCTGCAGCTCAGACCCGTTGTTCAGTGTGTTTAGACGGATTATTGGTTTATTAGTTGCAGCTCGACACAACCTCTCTGGTCTCAGTTCAGTAAACGGTTGGTTCCAGGTGAACTGGACCTTTCTGCTCAGACACGATGAATTATGTGTGGATGAGCCTGAACTGTTCAAACAGCAGCCAATCGGATGAAGACACATGTTGCACCTTTTATTTGACTCATGCCATCGTTACATTCATGTCGTCTCGTTACTGAACAGATCTGAGAAACTAAATCAGCTTCAGTGCAAAATATATAAAGAATAAGGCAGTAACTGTCCAGCGTCATGTGACCAGCCGGTTCTTCAGGATGGTCCCAGAGGAGAGGCCTTCTCCTGGGCCGCTCACCGCTGGTCCTCCCCTTCCACCTCCAGCCCTCCACAGCTCTCCCTCCTCAGCCTCTGGATCTCTGACTTCAGCCCCAGGAGAGTCTGAGCGAGCTGCAGGTCCTGAGAGCGCATCTCCAGCTGGGAGGAATCACAAGCAGTCAGATGAATGAATCCAGCCGTCGCTGTGCATTAGAACGTCCTTCATAGAAACACTTTAAAATCCCCGTTTAGCTGCTCAATGAAACATTCCAGTTGAACATCTGATTCTAAAGCCAGATGACACGAGTTCAGTAGTTTACAGATGATTTGGTCAAAGATCTGATGTAATAAATGTGAATGAAGTGTGAGCGGATGGTTTGTGTCCCTGAAAGTTGTTTTAAACTGTTTTTAACTTGATCACTAAAGCTGTAAATCGTCCCTGTTTTGCTAAATTAAAGATAAAATCAGTGAGCAAGTTGTTGAAGAGTTCAATTACAGATTTAAAAAAAGTTTTAATTTTGTTGTTAAATTTGCAAAATCCTTATTTTTAAAAACACTAACTTGTTCTTTTGGAGTTTTGGACTTTACAGAGTTTTACTGCATTTAAATGAGCAATAAACATACTACGGTACAAATGTTTGCTGTTTCCACAGTTTGTCACCGTTACAGTTTTCCTCTGGTGGCTTTTTGTTTGTCAGGACGATTTATTTACTGATTTACTTTCACAGCTTCACACAGAACCAGCAGCAGAATCTCACCAGTTCGGACCTCAGCCAGGTTAAAGCTCCGTCGATTTTGGCCCGTCGCAGCTCCTCGTTGGCCTGAGGGCTCCTGACGGGTCTGAGGGAACCCTGGGGAACGTCTCTGTTCTCCACCGAGGTTCTGAAGGCGTCCAGCAGCTTGTTCTTGATGTTCTCCAGCAGCAGAGTGGACAGAGAGTCCTCAGAGTGGCTGTCTCGGTCCATGACACTCGTCCTCCTTCACTGGCTCAGGACCGGCCGTAAACCCTCCCTGCTGAAGCTACGTCTTGTTTTTAACTCCTGGACCTGCAGCCTGCTCCAGACCCTCGGTTTCTGCCGGTTCCTGCTGGTTCCGGTGCTTTCTGAGTGGCCTCTCTCAGCTCCAGTCTGGCTGTTGCTATAGAGAAGCTGCCTCCTCCCAGTGAGCCCAGTAAGACTGCTGGACGACCGGGACAAAGACCATTGTTGCCTCGGAGGTCTCCTCCCCCTCCATCTATTCATTCAGGCCCAGAGAGAGCAGCAGACGATCCCAGAGCTTCTCTCTGAATCACTTTATCAGCTTCACTGGTTCAGCAGCACAAAGACGCTGAAATGCAGCCGACTGGTTCACTTTGTTCTCTGAGGAGGAAACACAGCAGCTGTTCTCCTCACGTCTGCTCTGAGCACCAGTTTAACACAACTTGATTTAACATACAGCTCAAAATAAAGAATCTAACTCACTGTTTAGGTTGTTGTCTTGATGGTGGCCGTCATAAGGCTGCTTCAGCTTCCAGTCAGATCTCTGCATCAGCTGCTTTCAACTCCATTCTAGCTGCAGCACCTTCATGAATGAGTCCTGATGTCCTGGTGCTGTCCAGCTGGAGCTGAGGACTTGGAGCTACTAAACCCTCCTGGACACTTTCACACAGTTCAGACTGTGTGTTAGAAGCTGCAGGATGAACTAATGTGATCCAGAGGACGTCTCAAGGTGAGCATCAAGTCTCTTCCAGATCAGCTCCACTAAAGCAGGAACCAGTGGATGTTTCCAGCTGTGATCTGACCAACAGGGGACTCGTGTTCACAGTTTGTTCTGCAGCTGCTGATGCAGTTGATGGACCGGCTTGTTCTGGAGCTAATGCTA